ATGAGAAAATTTATAGATCATACGAATAATTCAAAAATCTCATTTTGAATCATCAACAGACTATAGTGGTCCACTGCAGGACAAAGGCCTCTCCTAAAAGGAGCTTTTGGCCTACTGTACCACGTTGGCTATATGGGTTTTTATAGGGTTTGTTTCAAGTTTTCCTACTCTTTGAAGTGCTGTTATCCTGCGTAGTTTGCTTCCTTAGTCGGCTTTTACGACACCCGTGGCATGAATAGGGGTGGTGACATTCCGTATTCTTAATCCGTCACCACACTTTTCATTGTTAAAAGCTTGGTGTTAACATTGAACTATTTTCATATTTCATATTGTATTTCGTACGTATATTTTATGTTTCACTATACTCAGTGATCACACAGTAAGATGAGGATAATTAATTTTAAAATATTAAAATTTTTAAGTTATGTTTTAGCCGTTTAGTAGTTAAGAAAACATCTACATATACGAGTGTATACTTATAACTAAACAAACTTATAATACGACTGGTCTGTTGGTCTAGTGGTTAGTGACCCTGACTACTACGCCAGTGGTCGTGGGTTCGATTGTGTGATAAGTATTTGTTCTGTGTCTGGGTGTACTTTATCTATAATATGTATGTATTTGGAAATATATAAGTATGTTTATCAGCAGTTTGGTTCCCATAGTACAGGCTCTGCCTAGTTTGGGATCAGACGGCCGGGTGTGAAATGTATAAAAAAAACGTGTTTTGACGTTGCTATATATGGGTAAAAAGCACAGGCTCTAACATAACTTAAAGTAGCTATCGATGTTCGTGTGATTATAAAACACACACACACACACACACACACACACACACAAAGACAATTCCGTTTAATTATACCTCTGCACAGGCTATACTAAATACAAGAACAGTTTACTAACTATCGCAGGATTACAGGCTTCGGGGAACCTTAATACTAGTTTAAAGTTGTGTGAAGCCAATATCATGGTGATCGCATAATTGGTGGCCAGCACCGTTCGAGGTAGCTCGTTAACTGATACAGTTTAATGTGAGGCTGCCTATGCGTTTAGATGCTTCTGAGGGGGGAGACTGGGTGGCATTCAGTTAATGAATGTAGTAAATATATATAAGGTTTAGTTGGTTATTACTTTGAGGAATATATAACTATCCTTGGTTAATAAAAAATAATAGTTTAAAAAAACTGAAGACGTTTCTTTTTGCTAAATTTCGTGATTCTGGGTCAACGGGAACTACCATATAGGTTTTCTCATTCTTTTTGTTCTTCACTTACGGTTGACCTAGAATTGTCAATTTTGGTTTAAAGTAAGGTCTTACAGCACAAGTAAAGAGAAAATTCTGAAAAATAAAAAAAGTTGAAAATTAAGGTAAATTTTGGGACTTACAAGTTTTCGCGAAAATCGAAATTTGCCTATATCTTTTTATGGTGTTGACTCTGGACCTTGATTTTTATACACCTAATAGAGACCATAGACCTCAGTACCTGGTATAAATTTCAACTTGCTAGGTCTACCCGTTCCTGAGAAAATCGGTGGTGACACACGGACAGACGGACCGACGGACAGACGGACAAGAAAGTGATCTTATAAGGGTTCCTTTTTTACCTTTTGAGTTACGGAACCCTAAAAATATTTATATTTTTAGGGTTCCGTAAGATAATTGTTATATTGGTAATAATATATTTTTCTGTTTTTACAAATTACTTTGCGTGAATGAGTTTATTAATGGAATCCATTAAAATGCCATAGTGATTACAATTTTTTTTATATCATTAAATCTATACTGTTTATAATTATAAATAAATACTGAAAGTAATGTATAAAAAATTAGATCTATTAAAAACCGACTTCATCTTCTTTGATATCAAATTCAATAAATAAATAATATAATAAAAAATAAATTCAATAAAGGCAATAATTCTTAAAAATAAAAGTGGAAATAAATATTCTCTCGTTCTCGTTTATTTACACTTTTAGTTTTAGAAAAAAGCTTGATACAGAGTCTTAAAGTATCACATCACATTACATCAACAGCCTTAAATAGTCCACTGCTGGACATAAGCCTCTCCTTTGAGAGGAGGTTTTGGCCTACTATACCACGCTGGCCAGACGGGTCGGTATAGGGTTTGTGTTAAGTTTTCCTTCTTTTTGCAGTGCTGGTTTCCTGCGTTGTTTTGTGCTCTTAGTCGGCTCTTACGACACCCACGGGATGAATTGGGGTAGTGACATTTCGTATTCTTAATCCGTCACTACACGGACAACTTAAAGTATATTTATTATTATTACAAACAATTATGATGTACAAGGTCTTACAAGCTATAATAGGTATGGTGACGATATGGTTATTGTCAGGCAACTATAAGAGTCAGAAAGATAACCTATCTTCATTTGTTATAATAAATGAATTTCATCGTATATGTATAAAATAATAAAATAAATTCAAATTAACAAGTAATTTGTCAGTAAATAAAACGTAATAAAAAATAGAAACATGTGAAATTGTAAAATTTACAACTTAATTAAGACTAGTCGTAAGTTTACGTCGACGTTTATAAAAATTATTATAATGAAGTTTACAATTCCTGAAAACTTCATTAAAAAGTATTACATAGGCAGTTGTATTTGCAATACGTAGCAACAAAACTAAGTGAGTTTACAGTTTGTCGTAAGCTAGCACTTTGTATCATTTGAACAATAATTCATTTGCAGTCTGGTTCGAATTAATACAGAGCATGATTTATTAGCTTAATATTTAGCTTATAGTACATTATAAAATTTAAAAGTATACATTAAAGCAGTATACGTGTGGTAACGGATTAAGAATACGAAGTGTCGTGACTTAAGAACCGACTAAGGGAACAAACTATGCAGGAGAACAGCACTGCAAAGAGAAGGAAAACTTGACACAAACTCTATACCAACCCATCTGGCCAGCGTGGTACAGTAGTCCAAAACCGCCTTTCTGAAAAGAGGCTTATGTCCAGCAGTGGACTATTAAAACACGTTGATGTGTGATGTGATGAAAGCAGTATCTATGTATCGTCAGTTGCATTCATTGTTTATTATGTTTATTTCAGTTTTTTCATTAATTGGAATAGGCCAACACTGTCAAAATCGTAGCACAGCCAGACAGAAATACATATGTGATCACATCAATGATAGAAATAGATAATTTTCAAACTAAGTTTTATGTATATATGCCATTTATATTCTTCATAATACGCAATCAATATATTTTTTTCGATTTTAAATATCATCGGTCCTAGTAACTTGAAAATATCAAATGTCACAGAACTAATGCTTTATTGAAACTTAGAAATTTCATAGTTCAGCCAAAATTTCACTGTTAGTCAGAGTTGCTTACTCATATGAATTTTCGTCTTTTGGCTCAATATCAAAAGTCGTGAAGATGCTGATTCAACTATTGACGGACTCTGGAGTTCTGGGAGTTCAAGAGACGAAAGGGGAGGGATGGTAAACCTACTTACAAAAAAAGGATTGAAAAAATGTTTCATGTATTTTTCATTGTCACCTTGTAAACCAAATAAGCATTAACGCCTTAATTTTAACCAGTGCAAACAGTACGACATCGATAGCTTTTGCTCAAAAGTGACCGCAGTCAAGAGTTATTTAAGTCAGACCTTTTCAGGTAGTGATTAATGTAAATGTATAATGTTTTGTTTATTGTTTAAAGTATTTTTCGTATATTTACGATGTAACAATTTTATGTTAATATTATTATTTTCTTATTAGATTTACTATGTATTCTATTATTAAAAATGCGTAAGAACTAGAAACCATGTCTGTCCATACACTTATAATGTTGTCCACAAGTGGAGACTTGTCATTGGCTGACACATTGTTACATCATTCACTGAAATGTTATTTTAGCTGTAATTCTTCCCGGAGGGGGGGGGGTGTCGTCTACTCGTCTGTAGATGACCCGAGGTATGTCGGGGCACCAGGGACTTCCTTTCTAGGGTATACCTGGTTCCCCGGCTATTAGTACCCGAGTAGTCGGTTAGAGTCCGATATGCCACCGACAGGTGGTATCCGAGGGGATTTCCGCACGGAAAAAAAAAAAAAAAACGGTGTAATTCTTCCAAGTTCGTTAAATAAATTAATTGATCTCTTGCTCATCTGACAAAGCCTTAATATTTTAAGGCCTTGTCAGATGAGCAAGTCTATTGAGTCTAACGAGGATTGAACGTAGCACAAAGTCTGGTGCTAAAGTTTCCTTCCACTAGTACTTGAAGAATAAAATACACTTACACTTTAAGAATGTACATTTTAATACTCGATTTTCAGCCAGTTTATTTGAAAACTATTTATAAGTTGCATACTAATAGTCCAGTCAATGAAAGCTTAACTTTGCCATTTTGAGTTGATGACCTGCAACCAACGCGAAAATTTCCGTAAGGGTTCGTAGATTAATATACTAAAATTGCAGGGTGCTGATTTATTTTCTGGTTTATTCGAATAGTCTGATTTATTTGCAGGGTGCTGTATTGACGGCAAAAGGTGCAAAAAAGTGCAAAAAAAAAACTGGCTGGGAAAATGGAAAAAAATCATAAAACAAAGTTGTAGAAAATTAAATTTCCTACAAAAAAGGTATCAACGTATTTTCCACAGCGTACCTCCCATAGTTTTTGCACAAAATGCATTTAAAGGTGCAATTTTTTTTTTTTTTTTTTATATTTTGTTAATCATTTTTTTCCATTTTAAAACGATCCTACATGCTTCATTGGGATTTAATTAATATGTTTCGAGCATTTTTTTTTATTTATTCGTTTTTTCATATAATTATCTTAGTCTTTCATAAGTCTTTACTGCAACTATTTCATTACTGTACCATAATACATATTTTATATAAATCAGCTTTATTAGTTTTCCTCAAGTACCCATTTTTAACAAACAATGACATAGGAAACGGTGCTAATTCGTACTCCAATGCGGTACGTAGAACATTAACATAATCTTTGACTACTACCGCAATTCTTTTAAACTGATGAGTCAACTGCAGTGAAATTAGTATGATTGATCATTCCTTTTTTAGCAGCAACCAATGTTGCCACTTTATAGAGTTTTGAAAGTGACACCTCGTCAACTGTTTTTCCTAACATCGACTTTATCCCTTCTTCCCCTTTCTCAAACGCATTATGACAATTTATATCAAAACCTCCAATAACTCCAGTTGATAATGAAATCAAGTGATCACGTGGAATAAATGGATTGCGTTGATCCAGCCAATACAAAAAGCTTTTTAAATCAGCATCATTACGATCTATTCGACTTGATGTGAGGTCTACATGTTGTTCACTTGTCAAGGTCGTAATATTACAATATTGTTCTAAACTATTCATGATACTAAAAGCAGCAGGCATACTTGACAAATATCGAGTCACAGCACCCTGCAATTTTAGTATATTAATCTACGAACCCTTACAGAAATGTTCGCGTTGGTTGCAGGTCATCAACTCAAAATGGCAAAGTTAAGCTTTCATTGACTGGACTATAACGTTACTATACTTTTTTTTTTCTAGTTGAATTAAAGCCTATCAATTGTCTATCCGTGTGGTGACGGATTAAGAATACGGAATGTCACCACCCCTATTCATCCCCTGGGTGTCGTAAGAGCCGACTAAGGGACTGAATTACAAAACAATAGCACTGCAAAGAGAAGGAAAACTGGAACAAACCCTATACCAACCCGTCTGGCCGGCGTGGTATAGTAGGCCAAAACCTCCTTTCTAAGGAGAGACCTATGTCTAGCAGTGGACTATTATAGGCTGTTGATTGATTGATTGTCAATTGTCTTAAGAACAATATTTAAACCGAGTCAGAAGAAAATAAAATGAAACTAAAAAACTATATTTGTACTCTAAAAGTCAATTACTAGAGATAAAACCGCTACAGTGGAAGTGCTCTATAAATATATAAATGGAATTCAAACTCCTGTCTAAAACTGAAAATGTTTTTGATGTCGGTTTATTTACATGCCACTCAGAATACATATTGAGCACAGAATATAATAAAACTCGCTCTATATTTGAAAATGGCATGATGGATGGAGTATCAGAAAGTAACCGAATATTTTAATATTTTACATGAATTATTTGTGTTTGTTTGATATAGAAATATTATTATTATTATTTATTATTGGCCTCGAAGAAGCTCGGTGTGCTAAACAGATCGAGGCAGTATTTCACTCCAGCCCATCGCCTCCAACTCTATAAGACGCAAGTCCGACCACATATGGAATACTGCTCTCATCTCTATGCAGGGGCACCACAGTATCAGATTCTCCCTCTGGATCGAATCCAAATAAGAGGAACTCGAATCGTCGATAGCCAAAAGTTTTGCGATCGGCTCGATTCCTTAGCGTTACGTAGAGATGTAGCTTCGCTCTGCATTCTCAATCTTATATATCATGGAGAGTGCTCCGAGGAATTGTTGGGACTTACACCGGCCGCAACATTCCGCCATCGTTCCACACGGCAAAATTTTCATTACTACCACTTGGATAATTGGCGCTCCACCACTGTGCGCTTTTCAAGGCACTTTTTGCCTCGCACTACCAATCTGTGGAACAAGTTTTCAGCTGCGGTATTTCCGGACCGATACGACCTTCAAACCTTCAAGAAAAGAGCGAACTCTTTCCTCAAAGGCTGGCAACGAGCTTGTGACTCCTGAATGGCATGCGTTCATGGGCGGCGGCAGTTGCTTTCCATCAAGAGCCTTTAATAGTCCACTGCTGGACAAAGGCTCCTTAGAAAGGAGGTTTTGGCCTTACTATACCACGCTGGCCAGACGGGTTGGCATAGGGTTTGTGTCAAGTTTTCCTTCTCTGTGCAGTGTTGTTGTTCTGCGTAATTTTTCCTTAGTCGCCTCTTACGACACCCACGGGATGAATAGGGGTAGAGACACTCTGTATTCTTAATCCGTCACCACACGGACCTGCTCGTTTGCACCCTATTCCATAAAAAAAAGAACTGGTTGGCGTAGTATAGTAGGCCTAATCCTCCTTTCCAAGGAAAGGCCTGTGTCCAGCAGATTAGACTTAGCCATAAGACTAAGATTATTTTAAAAGAGTATTGATATATTGTGTTATATGTTTTGTAATTTAATAAATCAACAGAGATATGAACGAGCGATAGAGGCGTATACTAAAATAACAAGAAAGTTAATAAGAGTTAATACTGGAGTCAAGAAAAGCAATTATGTCTGACGAATTCTATGAATATAAGTGGAAAGAAATAAATCAAACCATATCGTATGCCTATTTTTGTCTGTGTATTAAACTGAGTAATAAATGAACACATATTTCATTTCATGGAGTAAATTGGAGAACGTTACACATACATTTTCAAATTTATAGTTTTTTTTTTTATATTTACTAGTTGTATCCTGTCACGCTTTGGTTTGGCACATTCTGGTTGCGTTGATGAGAAATGAATAATAAAACTAAAACTAAAAACAATATTTAAAGCGGTTTGTATGTCGTGTCAATCGGTGACATTTGAGCGCAATCGATGAAGAACTTTTTGAGTTTTTGAAGCGTACACAAACCAACTTAACATTTATAAATATATCGATTTAAAAAAAAATGCAATTGAGAAGAAAAGGCAATGGAAGAAAAATAATGTTTGACTGCCTCGGTGGTGCAGTGGTATCGTATGCGACTGCTGTGCTGAGGTCTCGGGTTCGATCCCCGGGTCCGAACAAATGCTTGTATGATTAGTCTTTAGCTTAGGTATATTTTAAAAATCATTATAATACTGTCACAAAGAAAATCACGCACGTTCCAGAAGGTTCGTTTGGCCTCACAATTCCGGAAACAGCAATGGTGCTGATTGGCACGGAACAATAAGTTCTATACCAATACGGATACGATTGAAAGTAGATTGTCGTGCGATAATCTTGTTTACATTCGAAACGAATTTGTATTTCTCAGAAGTCCGGTTCTGGTAGGAATTGGAATTTGCTAGAATGATCTTTTACAAGTATTATAAATATGGACACGTCTTCTTCGGAGTTAGTTCAGTTCGAGCTACAGTGCGATAAACATCGAAGCGATTGAAATGAATAGAAGTGTGACCCAGCGATCTCGGCGATAATTCCGGACTATTCCTGAGCATTGTGTGAACGTTTTGAAGTGTAGTGATAATAAAGTCTCTTAGTCGTTCGAAAGCTTATTAAACGACGAACCCTAATACGTAACAATACTATTGTGATTTTTAAAATGATGTAAAATTTATTTAAATAAGAATTAAGATGTTGACATCGAAATTGTTGAAAATATAAATTTAAAGATAGATTGTAATTATAAAACATAAACCGAGATCCCTTATAACAAATCTTGTTTCTTTAGTAAGGAGACGTTTAGGCAAAAGATTTTCACTTCACGTACGTACTTGTATAATTTTGAAAGTTGTAGGAGAACGCTCCAGGTACGCAGGTAGCAAAATTACTATGTAACAGTACAGAAAGTTGAATAGGATGACAATTCTAGTAATTTCCATATCTGTCAAGGTAAGTAAAAGACACCCTCAGCATATTTCTATAGTTATTTTACAACTAACAAATATTTTATCACCAAAAAAAACATGTTACTGTACGTACCGAAACCAGAAAACTAACGAATAAAAATGGATACTCTTGTGGTAATGAGAAAACCTTTAAGAAATAAATCAATATTGACGACGAAGTCGAGGCTATGTTACAGGTCAAATAGTTTTGCTTCAGATTCTCAAAACTTACCACCCGCCCCAGGTGTAGCGACTGGCGGGATCCAAGGTTTCCAAAATCCTAAGATATGTTTCTAGTAATTTCCAGAATTCGTGGAGTATCAGAAATTTAAATACACCGTAATGATTAAAGGAGAAGAGTTAGAACTCTACTCTTCATTATCGGCTTTAGTGACGCCCATATATTGGCATCAATACTTGGCATCATAGAGGAATTTAGAAGTGTATTTATGTATCTCTGCCTGTGTGTATTTATATATGTTGTATGTATTTAAATTTATTAGTTGTATGTATAATAAACTGTGAACGTAACCTTATGTTTATTATTAGTATTTTTTATTTATTTTTTGAATTTGTTGTAATATCCCAGGCTACCCTAATTTTTTTGACAATATCCGTATAAAGGTTGTCTGTAAGAGATCGCCGTGAGCGATAAGACCGCCTATTATACCGAAATATATTTAATATCTGTATATATAATACTTCAATGGTGTACAATAAATATTGATATATTAGGCATCTCTATATAAACCATCCATTCATCCATCCACCCATCGATTCCCTTAGGCAGAAAAATAAGTAAGCATGTGCTCGTATAAAAATTTGATTTACGTTCATAACAATAAAGACAAAATTTTAAACAAACATAGTAGTACACACTCTTTTATAAAATGTCAAATACATACTTGTTGTACTCGCCTCTAGTCCCTAAAAAATTCACAGTCGTTTTGGGCTCAATGTGTGTGAATTTATGATAAAATCCTTTATATTTTACAAACATTAATACTGAACAAATTTAATTCTACAGCATAATTACGGCTATGAATGAAATGGTTTATTCAGTGGTAGATTGAAGGATAGAATTGGGGCCTTGATTCATGGCAATTACTCGAACTATTGAGTGGTTTAAAAAGGGGGACTGAAATTGTTTGCAAAATTTATTCTCACAAGGCTATATCGAGAGCTATCTGAGAAACATAAAGATAGGTGGAAGTTTCGGAAGATAAGAAAGCAAACTTACTAGAGATGATTGTATTTAATAGACATTTTTTTTTTGTACCACATTCACACAACGCCATTTAGTCCCAAACTAAGCAGAGCTTGTACTATGGGTACTAGACAACTGATATAAATATATATATACTTTTTTTTGTAAATACATACTTATTATACATAGAAACACCCAGACCAAATCAAACATTAAATATTCATGCACACAAATGTTTGACTTGAGCGGGAATCGAACCCGCGATCTTTGGAATAGCAGTCCGTTACAGAAACAGTTATTATATATAATTAAATAATGATAGTAATACACAAGTTATGACTAGTCATAAAATGTATTACTCACTTTATAGTATCCATACCTATATCTTAAATGTGGAAGTGAGTTTGTTTGTTTGTTACACTTTCACGTCTAAACCACTAAACCTATTTTTTTAATTCTTTCAAATCTGCGAGTGTCATGGGCTGCTTTTTACCGCCATAACGAACAAACACATGCGCGGAGCTGCGAGCAAAAGATAGTAATCTTAATATATTGCAAAATGCAAATAATAACAAATCTCATCTGAAAAAAAAGTCCAAAACACCAACACCAAACTCAAGAGACAGCAAGCCTTCGAGGTTGGCAGCTT